TATATATATATATATATATGGCCAAGAGGTAATACAAATGTGCAACCTTGGGAGCTGCTGACTATTGAGTCCTCTCTCCCCCGATGCCTCCTCCCATGGTGCATCAACCACCACTTAATTAGGAAGGCCATTTCTTCACATAATACCTTGTATGTGCTGTGTCAGTAACTGAATTCTACCTGACACCAGAACTAGGGCTTATTCTAAGAGAGTTTGTAGCCTATTAAAGAGCTCAGGCAAGTGTTAGGGGGATGCTTTTCCTTATCACCTCCCTCATTGTGTACCTTGATGCATTTCTTTGAGTAGTTCTCCTGGCCTCTTGCCTCACTCTTTAATTAGACTTTCCATGGGGTAGGAGTGACAGCCGTTTGATAGATTTGGGAGAAAGGATTGGTCCCTCTGGGTCCTTTTGCTTTGGGGCCTGCCTGTCTACAGCGTTCTCTAAGATGGTGCCTCAATCTGTACAAGGATTTTTGTGATCTACTTTCTATCACATAGCAAGCTTAGCCCCTACAGGAGGAGGCCTGCAGCTTTGGGATGTAAGTTCTATTCGGGGATATCAGTGATTCAAACTACTCATTTCAATATGGTTTTGTCAATAACAGATAGTATTTTTATTCTATTTGTCTGACTCCTGTGCCTAGTTTTCAGTTGGTTTCTAAAGGTGGTAGACAAAAAGGGTTGTTATTTATTGGGCCCTTCAGGCTGCAACCAAGGCCATACACAGTTGTAATATGAGTCGTCACAACATAGGTGGTGTATTAGTTTGCATAGGATAGACAATGCTGCATTAACAAACAGGATACAGAACTCTCAATGACTTAACACAATACAAGTTTATTTCTCCTTCCTGCCAGAATCTAGTGTGAATTGATTGGCCCTCTTCTACCTTGTGGCTTTGCTATCTAGGATATGTGGCTTCCAGGTCACTGCAACAGGGAAAGAGAAAAGTGGAAGAGGCACACCAGCTCTTATGTGATACCCAGTACTCTTGCTGAAGTTAAACATGACGGTTATGTCACTCCAAACAACTGCAAAGAAGGCTGGGAAACGTAGGGGAACACATGGATACTTGGAGGGCACAAACTCTCTCTGCTACAAGTGGATTAAGAAAAATCAGGGGGCCAGGCGCGGTGGCTCATGCCTGTAATCCCAGCACTTTGGGAGGCTGAGGTGGGCAGATCACCTGAGGCCAGGAGTTCGACACCAGCTGGTCCAACGTGGTGAAACCCTGTCTGTACTAAAAATACAAAAATTAGCCGGGTGTGATGGTAGGCACCTGTAATCCCAGCTACTCAGGAGGCTGAGGCAGGAGAATCACTTGAATCTGGGAGTTGGAGGTTGCAGTGAGCCAAGATCACACCATCATGCCTCTGCACTCCAGCCTGGGTGACAGAGCAAGACTCTGTCTCAAAAAAAAAAAGAAAAAGAAAAAGAAAAAAAGAAAAAAGAAAGAAAGAAAGAAGAGAAAAAGAAAAGAAAAAAAATCAGGGAAAGTTCAAGGGAGCAGAGTGAAGCACAAAGCGAGTTGAGTGGTATCAAAAGTGTATTTTGCCTATTTCATAGTTTTTCCAAAGCCAGGCATTCTGTCTGAAATTTGTCTGTACAATCTCCTCAGAATCCAGTGCCACCAAGCCATCTACAAATGACAATATGCTGATTGAGGTTTTTCCTGTTAACAAGTGTGCATTTTACCTCGGGTCTTCTGGAGACAATATGTTCTTTGTTTGGTTGCATAATTCATTCTTTTAATTTTAATTATGTACTATATTTAAATTTATTATGTACTATATTAGTAATTCTAGAAGTGAGAATATTGGGTCCACAGTAGTTTTGGATAATTTGAACCTTTCAGCACTCTTCAAATCACATTAAATATAGCATTGGTTTTAGTTCTTTTTTTTCTCTCTCAGTGGGATTTGTTTGAATAGGAGTCATCTAATGTAACCATAGTTCTTAAGCATTCTCTTTGAATTAATCATCTGGTATTTGTTAGTTGTTTTTCTAGGAAGAGAATCCAAAATCTTTCAAAGCCTAAAAAGCAATGGGGAACTCCAGATAGGTAAGGCAATATTATATGGTCTTGTTTGTAATGATTGTGTTCATTATTTCAAGTAGGTAAGTATTATTCTTACCTATCTATTATTAACCCTGTATTCCAGATTTTTCCATCCACCTCTACTTAACTGAACCAATATTGTCACCTCATTGTAGTCACCATGTAAAAGGCTAACCCTTGGTCAGTAGCCTTTAAATTTGGCTGTACATTGGAATCACCTGGCGAACTTTAATACTGACTGATATCTGAGTGCTTTCCCCAGAAATCCTGATTTAGTTGATACGGGGTGCAGCACAGATATCTGAGTGCTTTCCCCAGAAATCCTGATTTAGTTGATATGGGGTGCAGCACAGACTTTGGTAGTTAAAAGCTCTCCAGGTGATTCTGTAGGCAGACAGGCTTGAGAACCACTGCTCAAGGGTGTGACTCCACGCTCCTTTCAAACTTTTCGTGCATTCTCCAAGTCCAGCTTTGCTGCCTGTATCTCTAAGGCTGCTATCACTAATCCTAATACCTCTAAGCCTCTTATTAGAGCATACCTGTCCTCTGGGTCTCCAGCAAGCTGGACCTTCAGTCCTTTCATGTTTGGCCAAGGGACTCCCCTTTTTCTTCTTTGGCTCCAGAGTCAAGCTTGAATATTTTTTTGAATCTCCTATTGCCTTTTTTTTTTTTTTTTGAGGCAGGATCTTACTCTGTACAGGCTGGGGTGCAGTGGTACAATCATGGCTCACTGCAGCCTTGACCTCCCAGGCTCAAGCGATTTTCCCATCTCAGCCTCCTGAGTATCTGGGACCACATATGTGAGCCACTGTACCCAGCTAATTTTTAATTTTTTTTGTGGAGACGGGGGTCTCCCTATGTTTCCCAGACTGACCTCAAACTCCTATGCTCAAGTGATCCTCCCGTCTTGGCCTCCCAAAATGATGGAATTGCAGGTGTGAGCCACCATGCCTGTCCTGTTGCTTTTAAAACAAAATTAGTAGACTTTAATTTTTAGAGCAGTTTTGGTTTACAGAATAACTGAGCAGAAACTACAGAGTTCCCATATTTACCACCCCTTCCCCGAGTTTTTCCTGCTACTAACATCTTGGATTATTGTAGTATAATTGTTGAAACTGATGAGCCAATATTGATACATTATTATTGATTAAAGTACATTAAGATTCACTTTTTGTGTTGTGCAGCTTTATAGGTTTGACAAATGCATAATGTATCCACCATTATAGTATCAGGATAGTTTCACGGCCCTAAAAATTACCTGTGTTCCAACTATTCATTTCTTTTCCTCTTTCCTCCCTCTCCAAACCCTTGGCCACTACTGATCTATTTACTGTCTCTATGGTTTTGTCTTCTCTAGAAAGCCATATAGTTGGAATTGTACAGTATGTAATCTTTCGGATTGGCTTCTTTTACTTAGTAATATGCATTTAAGTTTCCACCATGTCTTTTTGTGGCTTGATAGCTAATTTCTTTTTAAGATTATATTCTGGTGGGGCGCAGTGGCTCACGCCTGTAATCCCAGAACTTTGGGAGGCTGAGGTGGGCAGATCACTTGAGGTCAGGAGTTCGAGACCAGCCTGGCCAACATGGTGAAACCCCATCTCAATAAATAAATAAATAAATAAATAAAAGATTATATTCTATTGATGTGGGTACTATTTCATTGTATAGATATATCACAGGTTATCCATTCACCTATTTAAGGGTATCATGATTGCTTCCAATATTGGGCAATTATGTAATAAAGGTGCTATAAACATTCACATGCAGGTTTTTTGGTACATATAAGTTTTTGGCTAGTTTGGGTAAATTGCTGGATAATATGGTAAGAGTATATTTAACTTTGTAAGAAACTGCTAAGCTCTTCCAAGTTGACTCTACCATTTTACATTTTCGCAAGTAGTGAATAGAGAGTTCCTGTTGCTCCACACCTTTGTCAGCATTTGGTGTTGTCAGTGTTTAGGATTTTAGCCATTCTAATAGGTGTGTAGTGGTATCTCATTGTTTTAATTTGTAATTCTCTAATAAACTAATGTTGAGCATATTTACTTAATTGTATGTCTTCTTTGGTAAGGTGTTTGTTCAGATCTTTTGCCCATTTTTTAGTTGGGCTATTCGTTATTGTTGAATTTTAAGTGTTCTTTGTATATTTTGGATACCAATTTTTTTATCAGATATTTGTTTTGCAAATATCGTCTCTCAGTCTGCGGTTTAGCTTTTTATTCTCTTAGTGGTGTGTTTCACAGAATAAAAATTTTAATTTTTATGAAGTTCAGCTTACTGATTTTTTCTTTTGTGAATCATGTTTTTGGTGTTGTATCTAAAAACTCATTGCCAAACCCAAAGTCACCTGAATTTTCTCCTTTGTGTTTTTCCATAAAACTCTGAAAAGTTTTATATTTTTGTATTTTATATTTACACCTAGACACATTTTGAGTTAATGTTTATAAAAGGTGCAAGGTCTCTGCCTAGATTATTTATTTATTTTTGCATGTAGATGTCCAGTTGTTCCAGCACCATTTGTTGAAAAGACTATCATTTCTTTTTCTTTTGTTCTTTTTTTTTTTTTTGAGATGGAGCCTTGCTTGTGTTGCCTAGGCTGGAGTACAATGGCATGATCTCAGCTCACTACAACCTCTGTCTCCTGGGGTCTCCTGCCTCAGCCTCCTGAGTAGCTGGGATTACAGGCATGAGCCAGCATACCCAGATAATTTCGTATTTTTAGTAGAGATGGTGTTTCTCCATGTTGGTCAGGCTGATCTCAAATTCCTGATCTCAGATGATCTGCCTGCCTCAGCCTCCCAAAGTGCTCCACCTCGCCTAGCTGAGACTATCATTTCATGATTGGATTGCCTTCAATCCATTGGCTATATTCGTGTGGATCTACTTATAGGAGCTGTATTTTATCCCACTCATCTGTCTCTTCTTTCACCAATACCATGCTGCCTTGATTACTATAGCTTTATAAGTCTTGAAGTAAGATAGCATTAGTCCTCTGACTTTGTTCTTTCTCAATATTATGTTGATTATTCTGGGTCTTGTGTCTTTCTATATAAACCATAGAATCAGTTTGCCAATATCTATCTATGAAGCAACTTGCTGGGACTTTTACTGGGATTGCATTGACTATATAAACCAGCTGGGAATAATTGATATCTTAATATTGAGATTTCCTATCCATGACTATTGAATATCTCTCCATTTATATAGCTCTTCTTTGATTCTTTCAACAGAGTTTTGTAGTTTTCCTTATATGAATCTTTTATATATATTGTTAGAATTATGCTTATGTATTTAATTTTTGTAATGCTAATGTAAATATCATTGTGTTTGTTTTTTTTTTTTTTTTCAAATTCCTATTGTTCTTTGTTGGCATATAAAAAAATCAGTAGACTTTTGCATGTTAATGCTGTATCTTGCAATTTTGCTATACTCTAAAGACTAAGTTTTAAGAGGCTTAAAACTAAAAATACACTATGCATTAAATTCTCTCTTATTCATGGATAGGAACACACACATATATATTGAGTAGAGATACACACTGATAAGAGATATGTTAATGGATATTACTAGAACTGTTAAAATCTTGCAACATGCCCCAACCTGACTTGAAACCAATAGAAAAATTGGAGGCATTATTTGATTAGGGAGTAAAGTTTAGAAAAGTTAAGTAACTTACCCAAGTTCAACTTGGATTTGAATCTATATCCATTGACCACAAAGCCCATTTTTTTCCATTATATCACCCTGTCTATTTTAGAAAGGCACAGTTCCTTTAATAGCATGGGAAACCAGAGGCAAGAAGATAATTTGGGGCTATTAAAATAATGCAGAAGAGAAATAACGATAGCCTGTCCTAGAACAGTGGCCTTAAGTGTTGAGAGAAAGAGTCAAGACATAGATGAACAGAACCTAGTGACAAATGAATTATAAAAGTCTGAGTGAGGAGTAAACATGATTTCTAGGTTTCTGTCTTTAGAAGTAAGGCAGAATGCTTCCAGCTTTTGCCCATTCAATATGATATTGGCTGTGGGTTTGCCATAAATAGCTCTTATTATTTTGAGATATGATCCATTGATACCTAGTTTATTGAGAGTTTTCAGAATAAAGAACTGTTGAATTTTGTTGAAGGCCTTCTGTGCATCTATTGAGATAATCATGTGGTTTTTGCCTTTGATCATTTCCATTTCCTATTGTTATCCCAACATGGAATGTGCCTCATTTCTGGCAATCTGTGCTTTTTGCTTTCTTCCATGAAGGCTTTTCAGGTTAATCTCTTACTCATTTCTTCTTTTCTGTTGATCCTATGCTCAGCTATCCTACCTATGTCACAGGGCTGTTGAGACTAAATGAACTGATATCTGTAAAGTACTGAGCCCAATGCCTGGCAAAGGATAAGTATTCTACAGATTGTAGCTATTAATACTATTCTGTTACTACTTTATTTTCTGATCACCCAGTAAAGGGCTTCACCCAAAATAGGAGGATAGTGTAGACAGAATGCTCATTTTATGCCAACCTGAGTATAAACCACAGGGTTTACTTGATGGCAGAAACAGAACTATCTCTAGTCGGTTCGTTTTTGGTTGCCACATTTTGAGACAACAGATTAAATAGTAATATATATTTTTCTTTTTGTGTGTTTTAAACAGTAATATTTTAACTTCCACAAATATTATATCCATTTCAGATGCTTGGAAATCATAAGATTCTGTGATGTCGTTCTTGAAATGAAGTAAAGTCAGTATAAGAGCCATCAAGAGCCATTTCTGGCCAGGCATGGTGGCTCATGCCTGTAATCCCAGCACTTTGGGAGGCCAATGCAGGCAGATCACTTGAGGTCAGGAGTTTGAGACCAGTCTAGTCAACATGGTGAAACCCTGTCTCTGTTAAAAATACAAAAATTAGCCAGGTGTGGTAGCACGTGCCTGTAATCCCAGCTACTCAGGAGGCTGAGGCAGGAGAACCACTTGAACCTAAGCAGAGGTTGCATTCGCATAACTCCACTCCAGCCTGGACTACAGAGTGAGACTTTGTCAAAAACAAAACAAAACAAAGCAAAACAAAACACCAGAAAAAGAATAATTTTATAAAATATTTTCATTAGCAATGAATTGTTTACCATTTTGTTTTTATGCTTCTTAATAGAAAACTGTTTTGGGGAAATCAAGATCCTATTCGCCCTGTTTCCCAAGGTGCTTTGAAGATTCAGCTGACCAAAAGACTTGAGAAGCTTGCCCAGCCCAAGGAAGTTTCCCACCACTATGTACCTAACAGGTTAGTGTCTGTGTGTTATCATGTTACTTTATCAGAAGTTTTTTTTTTTTTTTTTTTCTTTGGAGACGGAGTCTTGCACTGTCGCCCGCCCTGGAGTGCAATGGCACGATCTTGGCTCACTGCAACCTCTGCCTTCCAGGCTCAAGTGATTCTCCTGCCACAGCCTCCTGAGTAGCTGGGATTACAGGTGCATACCAACACACCTGGCTAATTTTTTGCATTTTTAGTAGAGACAGGGTTTCACTTTGTTGGCTAGACTGGTCTTGAACTCCTGTCCTCGTGATCCGCCTGCCTTGGCCTCCCAAAATGCTGGTATTGCAGACATAAGCCACCACATCTGGCCATTATCAGGAGTTCTTAGGGGAACTAGACATAGAACTTTTATCTAAAAGCCATAAATTGTTCAACGTGCTGTCAAAATTTATGGAGAATTAGGGATTCTATATCCGTTTCCAATCTGATGCTACAGGTAAGCTTTTCCAGAGCAAAATCTAATATTTATTGCAGGCTTATAATATCTTACAATGCTTTGGTTTATGAAGATTTAAAAAAAAAATAAAGTGAAGGGGTTATACAAGGATACTTCCAGAGTGAGGAAGATGTCTCTTCAAGATATCGTTGAAGAATTCTACAGAAGCCATTATTTTTTCAAGTAAGGGTCTCCAATTTTAGAATTAAAGACACTGCAGAAGTTCAAGGGATATCTGAAATCACCCATTCCAACTCCTGCCGAGGACTGGCCACTTCCTTCTCTAAGTTCTCACTTTGGCTTCGGTGATACTCTCCGTCCTGGCTTCCCTCCTATCTTCTTCACCTTGCCCTCTCAATATCCTGTGTGAGGTGGTTTCTCTTTCTCTGCCACTGTTGCCCAATGTCCTGTCCCTGGCTTCTTTCTCTTCCTGCTCTAAATTCTTCCCAAACGTGGAGGTGTCCTCTCATAAGGATTTTGCTTCCATTCTTGTGGTGGTGACCTCCAACTCCTATCCCCAGCCTAAACCTCTCTCCTTATCTCAGAATTGTTGACTTCCCCTGTGGGAAGGTGCTACAGGAGTCTCCATCTCAACATGTTTGTATCGCTCTTTAAAATAATTTTGAGATGATGTCATTCTATGTTGCCCAGGCTGGTCTCAAATTCATGGCCTTAAGCAGTCCTCCTGCCTCAGCCTTCCAAAGTGCTGGGATTACAGGTATGAGCAACTGTACCTGGCCAGCATGTTTGAAACTGAACTACTTTTTATTTTTTTGGAGACAGAATCTTGCTCTGTTACCCAGGCTGGAGTGCAATGGCCTGATCTCAGCTTACTGCAACCTCTACCTCCTGGGTTCAAGCAATTCTTTTGCCTCAGCCTCCCCCAGTAGCTGAGATTACAGGTGTGTGCCACTAGGTCTGGCTACTTTTTGTATTTTTAGTAGAGACAGGGTCTGGCCATGTTGGCCAGGCTGGTCTCAAATTCATGGCCTCAAGTGAGCCATCCACCTGGGCCTCCCAAAGTGCTGGGATTACACACATGAGCCACTGTGCCTGGCCAGAACTGCTTTTTAATCTAATATCGAAGTGGATATTTGCTTCAGAATGATATTTACAGGTTATAATAATTGGTGTATTTGTTTGCTTGTAAAAGTTTATTCAAAATAAATAAATTAATTTCGGTGGCGCGTGCCTGTAATCCCAGCTATTTTTTTTTTGAGACAGAGTTTCGCTCGTTACCCAGTCTGGAGTGCAATGGTGCGATCTTGGCTCACCGCAACCTCCGCCTCCTGGGTTCAGGCAATTCTCCTGCCTCAGCCACTGAGTAGCTGGGATTACAGGCACGCGCCACCATGCCCAGCTGATTTTTTGTATTTTTAGTAGAGACGGGGTTTCACCGTGTTGACCAGGATGGTCTTGATCTCTTGACCTCGTGATCCACCCGCCTCGGCCTCCCAAAGTGCTGGGATTACAGGCGTGAGCCACCGGGCCCGGCCTCTTTTTAATTTCTTAATGGAGATCACTTCATTTTTTCGAACACAAGAATGCCAGTTGTACATGATTAATTTCATCTTCTTTCTAGAAAATATAGAAATGATCTTTGCATGTTTGGTGACATTTTATCATTATTTTTGGTGGCATGTTACTATTACATTTAATTCAGCAAATATTTTGCCACAACAGAATACCTGAGGCTGGGTAATTTACAAAGAGAAGAGGTTTATTTAACTCATGGTTCTATAAACTGAGAAGTATAAGAAGCATGGCGCTGGGATCTGCTCAGCCTCTGGTGAGGGCTTTTCGTGCTGCTTCATAAGATGAAGAAGAAAGTCAAAGGGAAAGCAAGCATGTGCAAAGAGGGAAAACCAAGGGGCATCCTGGCTTTGTAAAAACCCACTCTCATGGGCACATTCCTGTTAGAACTACGTAATTCAGTCTCAAGAGAGTGAGAACTCACCACTACCGAGAATGACATTAACACATTCATGAAGGATCCGTCCCCCTGACCCAAACACCGCCCACTATGCCTTACTTCCCAGCATCACCACACTGGAAATCAAATTTCCTTTTCTTTTTCTTTCTTTCCTTTTTATTTACTTTTTTTCTTTGAGACGGAGTCTTGTTCTTGTTGCCCAGGCTGGACTGCAGTGGCACCATCTCGGCTCACTGCAATCTCTGCCTCCCAGGCTCAAGTGATTCTCCTGCCTCAGCCTCCCAAGTAGCTGAGATTACAGATGCCTGCCACCATGGCCAGCTACTTTTTGTATTTTTAGTAGAGACGGGGTTTCATCATGTTGGCCAGGCTAGTCTTAAACTCTTGACCTCAGGTGATCTGCCCACCTTGGCCTCCCAAAGTGCTGGGATTGCAGGCATGAGCCACCTTGCCCAGCCTAGGAATCAGATTTCAACATGAGTTTTTGTGAAGACAAACAAACATATTCAAATTACAGTACAGGGGCAAAGGCAAGTAAGACACAATTATTGCTTTTAAGGAGTTTATCATCTATTATGGAGATATACGAGGTAAATTAAAGTAATACCTAAGAAGTCTTTGGAGTTCAATAAAGAAGAGATTATATTTACTTGGGAGGGATCAAGGAGGAGAAAAAAAGCTGAATTTTCCATATCCTTAATCTCGCTTCCTAAAAGTATCCTAAATTTTCTTATGATTTCTTCCAGAAAAAATAAATAAAATTATGCATATACGTATCTTTTGCCCTTAAAAAAAAAAAATATATATATATATATATATATTCCTGTTTGTGTGTGTGTGTGTGTATGTTTTATGTGGCTTCTTTCTGGCAAAATCCTTGATCTTATCTCTTTTAAAATGTATTCCCCAGACTTATTTTTCATCTAGTTTAGAAAACTCTCGGTTATTATTATTTCAGATTTTTTTCGTGCTCCTCCTTTATGGGCTCTAGTTAAATGTATTAGACTGTCTCAAGTTTTCCCACAGCACATTGACTCTGCTTCCCCACCTCTGTGTTTTATTTCTCTCCATGTCTTCACTAATCTTTTCATCTACAGTGTAATATTTGTCTACCCAGAGTATTTTTCATCTCACTCATTGTAGTTTTTAATCTCTAGAGGTTCATTTGGGTATTTCTATATTTCACCTCTACCTAACCTGCTCAACATTTCTTTGCCTTCTTGAAAATATGCAGTGCAGTTACAATAGCTGTTTTAATGTTCTTGCCTACTAATTTTATAATATGTCATTTCTGGGTCTGTTTCTAATGATTGACTTTTCTCATTATGGGTCACAATTTACCATTTCTTTGCATACTTGGTAGTTTTTGATTGGGTACCAGATACCGTGAATTTTACCTTACTGGCTCCTAGATGTTTTTGTATTCCTATAAATGTTCTGGAGCTTTGTTCTGGGATGTAGTTACCTTATTTCTAAGCAGTTTGATCTTCTGAAGTTTTTTTTTTTTTTAAAGTTTTATTTCGATTAATTCACTCACCGTATAATTCGCTCATTTTAAGTATTTAATTTAGTATAAAAGTGTAGTGGCTTATGCCTATCATCCTGCTTTGGGGGTCTGAAGTGAAGGACTGCATGCACTCAGTAGCTAGGACCAGCCTGGGCAACACCGTGAGACCCCGTCTCTGTACTGAAAAAACAAAAAATAAAAAAGTGTATAAATCAGAGTTGGACAGTATATTCATAGGACTGTGTAATTGTCACCAAAATCTAATTTTAGAATATTTTGTCTTCCCTAAAAGAAATATTAAGCTCATTAGCAGTCAGTTCTTATTCCCCTTCAACTTCACCTCCAACCCCTAAGCAACCACTGATCTATTTTCCGTTCTTATAAATTTACCTATTCTTGAAATTTCACATAAATGGAATCTTACAATATGTTGTTCTTTGTGACTGTCTTCTTTTACTTAGCACAATATTTTCAAGATTCATCTGTGTTGCAGCACGTACCAGTACATTTGTTTTTATGACTAAGTAATATTTAAGTATGGCTTTGCCACATTTTATTTATCGATTCATCAGTTGTTAGACATTGGCCTCTTTTTACATTTTGGCAAAAGTAATGCTGCTATGATCATTGTATTTGAGCTTTTGTGTGAATGTATGCTTTCATTTCTCTTAAATATATAGCAGGAATTGAATTGCTGTTTCACATGATAACCCTGTATTTCACTTTTTGACGAACTGCTGGACTGTTTTCCAAAGTGCCTGTATCATTTTATAATCCCACCAGTAATGAGAGTTTCAATATCTCCACATCCTTACCAACACTTGTTATTATCTTTTTGATACAGCTATCCTACTATGTGTGAAGTTGTACTCATTATGATTTTGATTTGCATTTCCTTAATGATTTTTGATGTTGAACATTTTTTCATTTGTTTATTGGCATTTGAATACCTTCCTTGGCGAAATCTTCATCCAAATCCTTTTTTCATTTTTGAGGTTTGCTTTTAAGTTTTTTTTTAAAAAAATGAGACTGGTGGCTGGGCATGGTGGCTCATGCCTGTAAACCCTGGCACTTTGGGAGGCCCAGGTGGG